CACGCGTGGGGCACCGGCCAGCTGTCAAAGGGAGTGAGTGACGGGAACACACGCGGCTGGATCTCAGGGGTGTTGAGTGAAAAAGGTCCATCGCAAAAGGCTGTGTATTCCCGACCCATTTCTATGTTATGTGACTCCATGAGCGTAACATTCTCAAAGAGACAGATTGTAAAGATAGAACACGGGTTCGAGGTTGCCGGGGTGAGAGGGTAGGGGCGAGGGGGTGGGGGTGTGAAGGCCGAGCAGAGGGAGATCTTTGTGCTCAGGGAATAGTTCTGTGGTTTTTTATGGTTTTTTTAAAAAAATATATATGCTTATTGATTTCAGAGAGGAAGGGAGAGGGAGGGAGAGAGAGAAACATCAATGATGAGAGAGAATCATGGATTGGCTGCCTCCTGCACGCCCCGCAATCTGGATCAGAGGTCAACCCTCAGCCACTGAGCCACGCCGGCTGGGCTAGTTCCGTGTTTTGGTTGCACTGGTGGCTATACCAGTCCACACAAGTGATCAAATGACATCCAAGGACATACACGCAGCCCGGGCAGGGTGGCTCGGTTGGTTGGAGCATCATCCTGTCCACCAACAGGCCACGGTTCCATTCCCGGCCGGGGCACCTAGGTTGCCGGTCCCCTCTGTGGCCGGGACACGTAGGGGAGCCAACCGATAGATGTTTCTCTCTCATGTTAATGTGTCCCCCTCTCTCCCTTTCTCTCTCCCTAAAAAATCAATAAAAACATAGATGAGAATCAATAAAAACACAGAGGTGAGGATTTAAAACACAAAACAACTGTCCACACACAAGGCACCACGGCCCCTTGCCCGGCCTGACCTCGTGCTGTGGTTACAGCGAACGCGACCCATGACTTTCCTGCTCACAACTTCCTGTGAACCTGCAGTTATTTCAAAATAGAACATTTCTAAAAATAACCGAAAGCTCTCAAAAAATGGAATACGGTTCCATTGCAACTCACTCATTACTCATAAGCACTTTTGAAAACCATTGAATACAGGACTGTGTTGCTGGGTGGGCAAGGATGGAAAGATTCGTTCTTTCTGTGAGAGGTTTCGGTGAGAGCTGAGAGTTTGAAATCAAAGGTGTGGACCTCAGAAAGCGAAGCCGGAGCAACCCGTGGGGTGGGGGGAGAGGGCGGGTGCCGGCAGCCCACGCGCGGCCCACGGAGGCCTCCGCGCGGTAATGAGGCAAGGACACCCCCCCACCCCAACAGAAAGGTGCTCAAAGGACTTGGTGGGGCTCTTCGCAGAGGAGGAAATCCCAATGGCCAACATCACATGAAAAAAGTCCCATCTCACTAGAAATCAGGGAAATGCAAATTAAAACCACAGCGAAATCTATCCGCCCACCAGAGAGAGGAAAGAGAACGCCAAGGGTAGCCAGGATGGGGCAGCAGGTGCTGTCGTCCGCTGCTGGGCGCGTGTGAACGGCCCTGCCGTCTGGAAAACACAGGACCCAGCAATGAGCTCTCTGGATTAAAACAACACAGAAACCCGTGCTACGTGCGCTGAGGAAATAGAAACGTTGGAACCCCATTTTTTATGAATTTTAATGTAAATATCTGAGATGCAGGATGGTCTTAGGCGACCCCTGTGAAAGGGTCGTTCGACTGCAAAGGGGTCGTGACCCACAGGTTGAGAACCGCTGCTCTAGATTAAAACAACAGCAACACAGAAACCCGTGCTACATGCGCTGAGAAAATAGAAACGTTGGAACCCCACTGTCTGAAATAGCCCCAAACTGGAAAGGACCCAGGTGCCCATCCGTGTCTGAAGGATCAAACGGACGGTGAGGTAGTCACTCAATAGAAGAGCATCCGGAATAGAAGTCAGAGCAGGTAAATGCAGCGGGTGGATCGTAAGGATGCAACGCTGCCTGGAAGAAGTGGGGTACGGAATAGATACGGGGAGCTGCCTGGAAGAAGGCGGACACGGAATAGATATGGAGAGCTGCCTGGAAGAAGGCGGACACGGAATAGATGCGGGAATGCGGAACGGACACCGGCCGCTTCCCTCGGAGGTGACAAGCTCACAGACGGCCTGACAGAACTGCTGCTCCGAGCAAAGCTATAAAGACGAGCAAGGAAGTGACCGCTGTGACTTGCAGCCGAGGCTGGCACCGGTGGGAGGGGGGCCTCGTCGGCAAGGACAGGCAGGGCCTGGGGTCGGGGGGCGGTAGTGACCCTGTTTCCCCGCCGGCTGGGTGACGCGGGCGTTCATGCTACAATCCGTGAAGCTGTATTTCCCCCGTGTGCTCTGTTGCACGATGTAAAAACAGTTTTGTATCGTTTTCAAATGCCCTTCAGACAAGTTGGTGTCGTGCGCCTTTAGAGAAGACTTTGCCGACACCGTCCCTCCCAAACTTGGAACATTCTGGGCTACAGCGCCCGCCGTCCTCTCGGGCCACTGCCCGCTCCGCCGAACCCCTCTGCCAAACCTAGCCTGCATCTCTGGTTCTGTCCTCCCTGAGGACAAACTCCAGGCCCCATCTATAAGCTTAAAAAAATTATGAATATTTTCTAATTGAGAGAGAGAGAGAGGAAGGGAGAGGGAGAGAGAAACACGGATGAGAGAGAAACATCGATTGGCTGCCTCCTGCACGCCCCCTGCTGGGGACTGAGCCTGAAACCTGGACGCGTGCGCTGACCAGGAACCGAATCAGAGACCTCGTGGTGCATGGGGCGATGCTCAACCCACTGAGCCACACTGGCTGGGCTATCCCTTTCTTTGAGTAAATACTAAGAGGTTCCATTTCGTGAGTGCTGGCTCTTGCCAAGTTCCATATAGAAATATTCTCTTAGTTCAGTGCAGGAAAGTTCCTCACGTCATCCGTACTGCTGACGTCAAGTCCTGGTCATTCAAAGCGCTCGGACCCTCCAGGGGCTCTGTGCCTCCTGACCTCGCAGGGCTGCCTCAGGTTAAGGTCATTGCCAGCCCGAGGGGCAGGGCTGAGGGGGCAAAGGTTACTTTCTGATTCCTCCTGGCAGGTGCCCTGTGTGCACAGCTGTGCACACATACGCGCTCAGAGCCACCCGGGACTGCACATGCTGACCCTGTCGCTCCGCTAGGGCCCGGGGGTGACCTTCTGCTCCTGCCCACTCCGCCCCTCCACGCTGTGGACATGTGGGCCCGGGTAGCTCTGAGCTGTGGGGCCCGCCTGTGCCCCCACTGACCACCCACTAGATGCCAGCACGTCCCCCACCCCTACCCCCCAGGAGGTGAAGCCCAGACTGCCTCCGGGTGTTGCCCACTGTCCCCTCGGGGGCCACACTGCCCGCTGATCGCCGCGGGCTGTTCTAACCCGCTTCTAGAGCTCGGTCCCCTCCTCCCTTCCTCCCGGGAAAGCCTCCCTCCGGCTCCGGGCTGACCCCCGGGGTCCGCTTACGCTGCTTGAGGATGGACAGGAGTTTCC